CTTAAGACCGCATCTTCAGTCTTATATTTCTTTTCTAGAGCCTCCAACAATAATTTCGCAGTAGCGATAGGTTTATAAACCTTATAAAACACTTCGTCTAGCGAAATCAGAACATAATTGCGACAAAGGAAGTCGGAATGATTCCAAGCTTCAATAGCCTGAAAAATTCCCTTGTCTTTCTCTTGAGTCTAACCTGGTTTTGGCTTAGGAATTTCTTCGGTTAAAATCCTTGCCAAACCGATGGTCGTCAGATAGAACAACATCTTGCTTTGCCATGTTTTAAAATCCACACCTTTGAATTTCTCTGGCTTGTGTTGAGGCGTGATGATTTTAGTAAGATCAGGCACTTCGGGAGTCTTCTTAGATGAAGAATCGGTTGTCATTCCTATTTATCACACAATAAACCAACGAAATATTGTTTTAAGATTGTTGGTGTCGCAATATGTGAACTCAGAAATGAAACTCAAATAATACACAATTACAATAAAGAAAAAAGAATAATAGCACTATAAAATTAAATTGAATTTATACTCAATAAATTCGAAATAACAAGTAAACACTTACTACACAAATTCAAAAATATTGAGAAGGAAATGAACTGAGGCTTGCCGAAGCAATTTCCTTAAGACAATATCTCCACCCTTGCTACGGTGCAAACAATTGAACGGATGGTAGTCTCCCAATATACAACAGTTCTTCACTCTATTAATTTGTATTTAAATAATAGAGTACTAGCGAACTAAATAAGAAACTCTTCGAAATTGATAGTATGGGAGAGAGAAGAGAAATAAATGATTGAGATTGTATTCAATCAATTTTGTGTGTTCAAATGGGTTGTGGGCACTTCTATTTATAGACTTAATCACACCTCTTGGGCCTAACCTATTAGAAGAGTCACAACTGTTTAAGTGAAGCACCATTTCAATAACAATGTTTGACATGAACAAACTTGTTCACCTAATACAAAACAACTTCTCAATGTAAAAAGGGGTCAATGTATTAAACAGTACAAAACTCCTTTTGAATGAAAAGGTGTCTTTCTACAAGAGCCACATATGCATATGCATACTTTGAAACATAATTTCCAAAAGACACAACTATTCATACACATATGTCTTTTCCACTTTAACTTTCAACTAATCTCTATATAGTAATTGATACTATACACTAGGTTGTAAGATATGAAAATTATAATTCAGATTTCCCACACTTCTCACTTAAACCTTTTCTTTGAAGAACTTCATGCAAAAAACTCCAACGTATAGTATCATAAGCATGGGTGATATCAATCTTAATTCCAATGTTACCTCCCCTCTTTTTACTTTCATTTCAATGACTATCTCTGATGTCATGCCAATGTTGTTCTGAATATTTCTTCCTGGGATGAAACCACACTTTGTTCTTCTCAGATAGCTTTGTCAATAATTGATGCCAACCTAATCTGTAGAACTATTGAAATGATCTTCACAATAAAATTCCCCATACAGATTGGTCTCATGTGAGTAAGTCTCTTTATTTTCATCTCTCTGTTTAGGAATTAAAGCCACATGGTTGGTGTTAATTCCATTTGGTAGAACTTCATCTGTAAAATGATTGAATAGCCGCACAAACATCTGCCTCTATGATCTCCCAACAAGACTGGAAAAACATTCCCTGGAACCCGTCTGGGGCAGGGGAGCTATTCGCATCCATACTGAAAACTGTACTTTTAATTTCCTGCCACGACGGAGTAGTACACAACATATCGTATCTTCATCAGTGATCACTCTGGTTGTGAGACTTAGCAGCTGAGCATCTGGTTGAACTTGAGTAAAGGAAAACCTTTCTTGATAAAATTGAATTACATTTTAATCTCCTCTTGATCATGAATCTTACTACCATCTTCAGTTTCCAACACCTGGATAGCATTTATAAGTTGTCGCAACTTATACAATGAATGAAAATATTCACTGTATCTATATCCACCTCTGTTGTAAATTTGTCTCTACACTTTTGATGCCAAAAGGAAACTTGGTGGTGCAACCTTCCTTCTAGTTCAGATTCTTTTTACTTCTGGGACTCTTAATAGGGTCCCAGAACCATTTCTATGTTATAATATTTCTACTGTGGATCAAAAAAGAAATGCTCTTAATTAAACTTCACTCCTAGGATGTAAGTTTGAGTAATCCTTTGCTACGGATGACATCCCTTTGCCTAACGTGACCTCAACGTTGATCAGGCAGATAAACTTTATGACTGCAAACTTAATAAACATTGCTAGCCTCTTGGATCTTACTTGCAACAAGGTTGTAGACATGATTAAGGGTAAAACACAGAGGAAGTTCGCAAGGCAGGACTTTTAATATTAAGAATGACTTTACTCCTGAAGA